AAACTTATGCAAAAAATAGAAATAAAGTAAGGTTAAAACCGTTTGACTGATCTTAGATTGGTATAGAAAGTAAAGTTAAAACCGTTTGTCAGTGTCACATTAAATTGTCTTTAAATTCTGAAATACCATTACTTTGCGTTCGTTATAGAAATACATGTTATAAAGTATGGTATCATAACCATTGGTATGTATTAGTTTTATAAACTTTTATAAACTTGCTAAATTCGTGTTTTAAGTAGATGAAGTTTGTAAAATAATACCTATACTAGTATACAGTAGTAGATTGTTCTATAATTATGAAATTGATTGAAATAATGCCATGGAAATGGCCAACTTTCTTAATCGTTGAACAATATGTTATTCTTCAATTATAATTGAAGAATAACATATTGTTCAACGATTAAGAAAGTTGGCCATTTCCATGGCATTATTTCACATTAATGCATTAGGATGAAATTATGCACCACGAGCCGAAGGCAAGTGGAGTAATTCATCCGAATGAAAATGGCCATTTTTCAAGAGTTGAACACTTTATTTTTTCTAATTTTAATAAAGAATGTAGTAAAATTTTGTGTAATTACCATATATGCATAACCTTAGATTGAATAACAAATTAATTTTTAAGAAAATAATGAACCATGGTATGGAGCCTACACAAGGAGTTCGAACTGCCCACTAAATTGTACAAATAAGGTCTTGTTTCAACACCAGCGGCCCTAATTATTAGGTGTTGAAACAATTATTGTCGGTGCGTACTGACGTCTGCTGTTTTGGTAGCGTTCAACGGAACACCAGCGCCCTCTTATCTTAGAAAGATTTTTGTGTACATAAAGTTCGGACTTCTTGTGTAGGCTCCATGCACCGTATGAATGTCATAGTAATGATAAGTACTACCGTGAAGAAAATTAAAATCTCGTCGTCTCATTGGACAATAACCGTGGAACGTTTTTCTCCACAGTTTAAAACTGAGTTACTTTCTTTTAAAACGTATGGGAAATGTAGAAATTTTTTAATATGTTTGGAAAAAAATATTTCTATTCATTGAAAATTTCTTGATTCGCAAGCTTAAATTTTCTTATTACTTTTCTTGTGCATTGATAAACACGCTGTTTTTTTGTATTCTTAATGGAAAATTATTAATTATTAGTCAGAATTTTAAAACTAGTAGGTACTTTTTTACGATTTCATCTCAAAAAATTTAGTAGGCCCTTTTCCATTAAGAATACGAAAAAATATTATAACCTTATTATTTTATCTATAACTGGCAATTATTAATTGTTTGGGACCAAAAAAAAAAATGGATACAGTATTATAAAAAAATGAATACGTGTTTCGGGATTTTTTATATTATATCTAGTTTTCGAGCTATTATATTTTTAATTTTAATTTATTTTACTTTTTTTTAAATATAATAGATTGAAAAATTATATGGATGCGGCATGAATTTTTTATTTTTGAAAATCTGATAATCAGGCCAATTCACTAACATGAGTTGTTAACGTTAGCCACTAAAATTAGTGGTTATCGTTATATTTAATCGGCCTGATTGATAGGTATATTAAATAATATATTTAATCACAATCCACACAACAAGGCCTGTTCTATATCGTTTCGCGCAAGCACAAGAATTTTAAACAACAAAAATGGCCGCCGTTAAACGCTTTGCAGTGTTGCTGTGATTTTTAGTATGCGCGAAACAAGATAGAACAGACCTTGTTGTGTGGATTGTGATATTTAATAACTTATCTTAGAATTGCATATTTTGACATTTGTTTTGAAAAAATGTGACAGGGGTATAACATTAAATTAAGTAATGTCTCTATATATGCGCTGCCTAATGGTACAAACATTTCCGCTAGACAAAAATAAGTGTTTGTATTCTACTTAAGAATAGAAATTAAAAAAACATTATTTTACGTGACAAAGTAATTTTTTTTGTCGAGTGTTTAATGCCCCGATTGTATTCGCAATTGTTAATAATTTCTCCTCCCACTGTGAACAATCTTATTCCTTACCCTGTATTTTCATTTCCTTCCTGTTATCAGTTTGAATGTAAATGTCAGATTTTAATTTTGACACAAGTTTGTTTGCGGGTACCCAAATTGTGTATTTGTAAGACAAAAAAGTATAGTGTTTACTGAGCGTGGAATCATATCAATTATTATGATGAAAGTTTTCAAGCGAGCCGATTGGCGAGTAAAGGAATTCATTGAGAGAGTAATTGCGATTCCACGCTCGGTAAACAATATAATATTTCTATAGTATACTACAATTACTTATTATTATCAAAAAATTATTTAAATTAAATATTTTTATAAAGCGACATCTATAAAACAATGGAGTAACAAACTTGGGAATCTATGTTACCGTCAAATGTCAAATTTTTATGTGTTCGAAATCGAAATGTATCCCTTGAAAATGGAATAACAACAGTTTTACAGTAAAAGTGAATAAAATATTTTTTCTACACCCACCTTTAAAACGCCCTTTATCGTATCGTGTTTCCATGATATTAAGTGACCTTTAAATACACATTAACAAGTTGTGGCTTTATGGCGCTTTAGTCACGGGCTGAAGTTAGTTTTAAGTTAGTTGACAGTTGTCCAATGTCATACAATCGTTAAAATAAATTGCCTTTCTTCTAAAATAATACTAAATGTGAAAATTATTTTATTATCTCAATACAAAAGTATTAAATAGTTTTCTCAACGCCAATATTTGAAAAGTTTGTATGAACATTGTACTGACCTTTTAATTTCGCCGACAGTAAACTATAACTTAAATTTGGACACGGACTCCACTGTAAAGTGCTCATAAAACATTTTCTTTACTTTCACAATTTTCAAGTAATACATTTCGATTTTTAACCTTTATAATTGTGTTTATAAAATGTAAAAATTTGACATTTGACGGTGACATACAGATTCCCCCGTTGTTTCAAAGATGGCGCTCTATACAAATTTTTGATTTAAATCATTTTAAGTATATGTCGTAGAAAAAGTATAGTATGCACCTCGTTTATAAACTTTTCTATACACTCATTAATTTAAGGCGTTTATCAAACTTGATACATAATATACTATTATGCACTACACGGTGAAGTCCGAGCCCCAAATTAAGTTATATCTAGTTTACTGCCGACAAAATTAAAAGGTCAGTACAATGTTCATATAAACTTTTCAAATATTGGTGTTGAGAAACTATTTAATACTTTTGTTTTTTGTATTGAAATATAAAATAATTTAAGTATTTTACGAAAAGGTACTTGACATTTAACAACTGTCAAATAACTTCCGTTTCGTGGAAACATGTACAATAATGGGCGTTATAATACTAAATGTGAAAATTATTTTATTATCTCAATACAAAATTACAAGTATACAATCGTTTAATAAAGTGCCTTTCTTGTAAAATAATACTAAATGTGAAAATTATTTTATTATCTCAATACAAGAATACAAAAAAAAAAATAGTTTCTCAACGCCAATATTTGAAAAGTTTATATGAACATTGTACTGACCTTTTAATTTCGCCGGCAGTAAACTATAACTTAAATTCGGGCACGGACTCCACTGTAAAGTGCTCATAAAACATTTTCTTTAATTTTACTGTGAAAAACTGTCAATTTTCAAGAAGTACATTTCGATTTATAACCTTTATAATCTTTGTTTATAAAATATAAAAATTTCACATTTGACGGTGACACACAGATTCCCCTATTGTTTCATAGATGGCGCTCTATCCAAATTTTTGATTTAAATCATTTTAAGATAATAATAAGTTTAAAAATTTTAGTTTTAATATTTACGATTAAGCTCGTAGGTAATTGATTCACTTGTAATTATTTCGTCTCCGCTTTTGTTTAATTTCATTCGTGTTCCACACCAGCATCGGCAGACAGCTGTTTCGATCTATTGGATCTCATCAGTGCCGAGTTGCTGTTTGGTGCGGAACACGAACGAAATTTTGATTGCCCTTCCTTTTATAGAAAATGCAATCATTCAAAGCGGTGAGACGAAAGTAATTTGTCGCCATCTACCGTCCTTCGACGTGGTCTTCTATATGTCTTGTCATTTTCTGCACTTTGACATATAGCGTGCTTTACGCCATCTATGACCTGAAAGATGATCAAAATTTCGTTCGTGTTCCGCACCAAACAGCAACTCGGCACTGATGAGATCCAATAGATCGAAACAGCTGTCTGCCGATGCTGGTGTGGAACACGAACGAAATTAAACAAAAGCGGAGACGAAATAATTACAAGTGAATCAATTACCTACGAGCTTAATCGTAAATATTAAAACTAAAATTTTTAAACATATTACCCAGCCGGCGAAGGCTAAAGTCATCTTTCAGGTCATAGATGGCGTAAAGCACGCTATATGTCAAAGTGCAGAAAATGACAAGACATATAGAAGACCACGTCGAAGGACGGTAGATGGCGACAAATTACTTTCGTCTCACCGCTTTGAATGATTGCATTTTCTATAAAAGGAAGGGAAATCAAAATTTCGTTCGTGTTCCGCCTTCGGTCATCTATGTGTTCCGCACCAAACAGCAACTCGGCACTGATGAGATCCAATAGATCGAAACAGCTGTCTGCCGATGCTGGTGTGGAACACGAACGAAATTAAACAAAAGCGGAGACGAAATAGTTATAATAATAAGTATTTTTCGTATAAAAAGTAGTTATAGTATGCACCTCGTTTATAAACTTTTCTATACACTCATTAATTTAAGCACTCGCTCGCAAGCTCGCTCGTGCCTAAATTAAATTCGTTTATAAAATGGCGTTTATCAAACTTGATACATAATATACTATTAATAAGAAAGCAATAAAAGAAAGTGTCTTTAAAAAACCCATTTAAGATATTTATTTTCATCCTGATATTTACATAAAATAAAATATAATATTTGTATAGGTATATATTTAATATTAAAATGTAAAACCAAACCAAACATAGAATGCATTTTACTAAAGCTTATATTAATCTTTTAAGGTGAGTGTCGAGGAATGGGCCCAGATGTGGGATGAGTATGCTCGCAATCCGGAAAACGCTCTCGAATGGCAAACTCAATATTTGCGCTTCATGTTCGACCTGGAGGATGCCAGCGGCGACGGTAGCATTGATGTTGACGAATTTACCAGCGTCTGCTCCTGTTATGGCCTAAAAACATCCGAATGCCGGGAGGCTTTTGAAAAAATGTCACAGGTACAATATGTCTTTTATTATACTGAAATAAAATAGTGGTAAATTATATTTTTCTTCACAGTAAAATTGTTGCCTAATAGATAGAGAAATCGCTTGTTATAGCCGAGCTTTGTGCTCGCTGCCGAGACGCTAGTTGTTAATGGCTTTCTCCGCCCTGTTTTATATAAACCAATTTTTTTAAGCTTTAATAATTCTGTATTTACATTAAAATTCTTGAGTTTGCGACATTTTGTTATGGGTGTGAGATTTGGCAGTATAGGTTATGTGCATGAATTTATTCTACAATGATTTGTGAGTTTTAGTTACCTACACTGATTTAAAGGAAATGCGATAGATGAAACCACTTTTTATATATTATTTCAATGTATATTTATTATTGTACTAAGTGTATAATAATTTGACTTTTGAATTGCGTAAAAATATGATGTCTTTTTATATACGATAGGTAGGTACGCTTAGAAAAACAATATATGCATTTTTAAATATTTAATAGAAAACGACCATAACGACTAAATGATTTTATAAAGGAAAACATAGTTTATCTACTCTCTTAAAATGAAATAGTCAAAAATAACTAATTATAAGTCATATTTGACTAATTGTCATAGTGAAAAAGCAGTCACTAATAATTAGTCAAATTCCACTGAATGAAATATTCAAATTAGTAAATTTAAATTAAGTTTTGACCCAGCCTGGGATTGAACTCAGGTCTGTCACTTGACAAGTTTGTCAAGCTAACCTCTTAACGCATTCGGCTGTCAGCCGCTCTTATAAAAATTAATTTTATTTGTCAATAAATATTGTTCATAATATTTTAAAGTTTAATATATATATTATTTGTGTTGCTATTTTGAGCTAAACTTTTTGCATCTTTATTTGTTTTATGGGTCATTTAACCATGGAGAGGTATATGCATTTAATTCAAATAATACTTTGTTGTTGGCCGTAAACGACTAAAGAAATTAGTTACTTTTAACTGTCAGAAATAGTCAAATATGGTTACTAATCTTAAATTAGTCAAACTTTAACTATTTACATAGTAAAAAATAACTATTTAAAAGTGAAAACGACTATTTTATTAGTAAAAAATGCTGGTACTAATTTAAATAGTAGAATTTTGACTATTTCATTTTTAGAGAGTAATTACTGTTTAATTGAGTAAAGCAAATTAACAAAATAAAATTTTAAATAGTTCATATTTTAAATTATATGAATGAATGGGTGAGGAAATACATTTTCATTGTTTCTTTATTTTATAAATATCTTTTTATTTTATTCAAACTATTGTTCAAAGGTAATGTCAACTAGTAGATTTTAATGTAGGATAATATTTAATATTATTATTTTTAAGGAAATCCATTTATCAAGCCTAATTTGATACCTTGATAAGAACTGAAACGCATTTTAGGTTGTCTGTCTTATTTGGTAAGATTACCTACCATTTAAATAGTAAAAAACATCTTATGAATGTTGGTTTAAAGAACTTTATTGTTTAAGTTATAATTATTATACTTTTTATTTTTTTATTGAAACAAAATCAATAAAAATATGCGATGCAGTCCAAAAAAAATAGCTCTAAATGATATAAAATAGAATTCTTTATTGAAGTAAGTGATTATTTACAACCATACGTGAAACACAATTTCCAATAAATACGTATCCACCACACGCTTCTCTGATAATCCAACTATTTTTTACATCACAACCCCATTTTCTCACGAATTTTTTCTTTATATTCTAAAACATTTGCTTTATTAAATTAACTCATTATATTATGAGTTTTCGTTTCATTTTACGATTATTGCTGTATATTTTGCGTTAAAAATATCAAAATTTCAGTTTCGTGGCGTCATTTATAGTGTTGCTACGGTTAGCCTGCGTCCAATTCGTCGCAACGCGTCGGAACGAGTGGATATTTTTCAACCAAATTTTATCATAATTTGATTCAGGGCGGTAATTCGGCTTATCCGTAAATAACTTTTCTATAGTTGGCATTTCTTTCAGTGGTAGAACAATATCGTAACGTTACAATTTTAAAGTTCTTTAAAACGCTACTCCGTTTTCAAAAATTGTTTGACAAATTTAGGATTACAAACTGTAGTATGCGTTTCCAAATATACAATAAAATAATTGCATGTCCCAACCCTATTGCCCAATTTTATATGAATTATTTCATTCTTTAAAAAATCTGTCTTTAGTGTCAAAAAGGAATAGTCGACAATTTTGCTTGTTGGGGGTCTATGTTATCTGGGCATCTGGACATATGGGCACACTTTGACAAACATTCCTGTTAACTTAAACCTATTAAAAATAAGCACCAGAAAAGAAATGTTGTCCTTTTTGTCTTCTTTCTTAACGTATAAGTTAAGACATTTTATTTAAACAAAATACCACGTTTTCAGAACAAGCTTGGCATACACAATGTGTACTACACATGTATGTCTTGACATTCTAAACAGACCCAGTACTTTCCAATTTGGACACTTTATTTCGAATCTGAGAAAAGACTGTACTCTCTTAAAATGAATTAGTCAAAAATAACTAATTATTAAAGCAGTCACTAATAATTAGTCAAATTCTACTGAATGAAATAGTCAAATTAGTAGATATAAATTTTAAAAAAAGTTTTGACCCAGCCGGGGATTGAACTCAGGTCTGTCACTTCTCAAGCATGTCAAGCTGTTGTCATAACACATTCGGCCATCAGCCGCTCTTTTGAAAATCAATTTTATTTGTCAATATTGTTCATAATATTTTAAAGTTCAATATATTATTTGTGTTGCTGTTTTAAGCTAAACTTCTTGCATCTTTATTTGTCTTTATGGGTCATTTAACCATGGAGCTAAGTTATATGCATTTTATTCCAATAATACTTTGTTGTTGGCCGCAAACGATTAAAGAAATTAGTTACTTTTAACTCTCAGAAATAGTCAAAGATGGTGACTAATCTTAAATTAGTCAAACTTTAACTAAACTGCGCACGAGTCAATGTGTCGCGACCAAAAATTTCGTCCTTTTTCAAAACGACATAACTTTTTTGTTTCTTGGACGGTTTTATTTTGGTTTGTAATATCTGCTAGCCCCATTCTCTGGAAATTCATGCTATAGATATGAAGCTCACGGTTCTTCAAGAAAATTTCCTACAGGGTGATATGTAAAACGGTAAAAAATTTCAATAACTTCATCCAAGCCCCGTTTGTAAAAAAAATATTTTTTTCTCTTTTTTACTTTGAAATAATGAAGTATTATGTCTTACCTTGAAACGTTTTTCAAATTTTTTGAATTGGAATCTTAGCAACAAAAATATGATTTTTTTTCAAAAGGGTACATTTTATGCTTTTTTGAAGGTAATACACTCAGCCTTTTTAAGATAAAAAAGATAAGATGGTGAAATATTGTTCCTTGAATAATTCTGAACAAGCGACAAGTAACAAACTTCCATTAATTCCAGAGGACCTAAGCCAAGACCACTTTGTTAAATGACATATTGGAGAAAATTTGCGAAAACTAAACCTGAACCGATATTTACGTTCGTGGCATGTTTGCTTTATAATTTTGACCTCCTGATGTGATTCAGTTGTCAAATTTAAGTTTTAGATAAAACCAAAATTACCAAGAATCAAAATTCGAAAACAATTCCCGGCTGTTAAATGTCTCAATAACATGCCTTTGCCAATGTCATTTGGGGATTAATTTTTTGGGAGAAATTACTGCAATTTGTTTAAGTGGTTAGGATAATGTTACATAAATTTCATTTATATTGCGCACTAGTGATAACTTTTTACTGATAAGTACCTACCTAATTGGTAATAAAGTTAAAAACAAAATTTGTTTGTTCATTTTTGAAAATTTTATGCGAAGATATAACATAATAAAACCACAACATTCAACAGAAAAATGTAACAAACAATAATAATAATAACTTTCAATATTTCGTTGGCCCTCCCCTAACCCGTAATAATTTGTTAACCCTCCTGCACTGAGAGAAAAAATGTAGAATCATTCAAAAAGATAATAATTCAAAGGGATTCAAATATGTTTTGGCGTCATTGGTGTGTCCCATTAAAGTAATATGTGTATAACAATTGTATAATACATATCTTTTTGAAACAACGTTGAGAAAGGCAATGAAATAAATAGATTTCTTTTTATATATATATTTAAAAGAGGGTACACTTTAAAAGTGCTTAAAAACATTGTAAAACTGTTGGTAAATGAATATAAAACTACAAATTTTTCTATTTGAATCAAGTTTACCCGAATAATTAAATTAATATAATTTCATATGCTTTTCATGACATGATATTTCTCTGAGTGTGGGCATTCCCTAGACCAAGTTCCTTAGAAATTCCTGGGGTATGGCTTCCCATTCTTCCTGAATCAAATTTACCAATTCATCCAATCTTTCCATTAGCCTTTCCTCTCTTTCATCTTCAGTATCATCCTGTTCCACACATGCTCAATAGGATTTATATCCGGAGACAAAGGTGGCCAATTCATTCTCTTAATATCATGGTCCCTTAAATACTCATTTACGATATTAGCGCGATGCGGACGGGCATTGTCGTCCACCAACACCAAATTATTAGCATTTAATTTTCATAATTTGATCCTTGATTTGATCATTCAGTGACATAATAATAATAATAATGTACTAAAGATGCAAAACACAGTAAAAAAACAGTTCAATCCAGCAATCAGATTTTATTGAGACATTTAACAGCCAGGAATTGTTTTCAAATTTTGATTCTTGGTGATTTTGGTTTTATCTGAAACCTAAATTTGACAACTGAATCACAATCAGGATAAAATTATGAAGAAAACATGTCACGAACGTAAATATCGGTTCAGGTTTAGTTTTCGAAAATTTTCACCAAAATGTAAATTTGAACAAGTGGTCTTTGCTTAGGTTCCTCTGAAAATATTGAAAACTTGTTGCTTGACGCTTGTTCAGAATTATTCAAGGAACAATCTTTCATCATCTTATATTTTGGTTCTTAAAAAGGCTGAGTGTATTGCCTACAAAAAAGCATCAAATGTACTCATCATATTTTTGTTGTTAAGATTCCAATTTGAAAAATTTAAAAAACGTTTCAAGGTAAGATAATACTTCATTATTTCAAAGTAAAAACGAGAAAAAAATATTTATTTTACAAACGGGGCTTGGATGAAGTTATTCAAATTTTTCACTGTTTTACATATCACCCTATAGTAAATTTACTTGAAAAACCGTGAGCTTCATATCTATAGCATGAATTGCCAGATAATGGACATCACAAAATAAAATCGTTCAAGAAAAAAAAAGTTATGTCGTTTTGAAAAAGGACGAAATTTTTGGTCGCGACACATTGAGTGGTGCGCAGTTTATATACGTAGTAAAAAATAACTATTTAAAAGTGAAACCGACTATTTTATTAGTAAAAAATGCTGGTACTAATTAAAATAGTAGAATTTTGACTATTTCATTTTTATAGAGTACGCCATAATAATCACAAATTCCGTTTTAATCACATAAACCTTAAATTATAGTGGTTTGCAAAAATGCAATATTAAAAATAATAAACACAAAATTTGTATTGTAACGCCCTTAAACAGAGAGATTTAAGAAGCAAGGGAAGCAGTAAAAGCGAGTCGTAAACAAGAATAGAATAAATAATTTTAGGACTAATAAGGATACAAGATTGCAAATTGAAAATTGTTTGAAAAGCAAAACAAAATACGTGCGGTAGGTCTCCTGGTCAAAGAAATTGTAAAAATTTCGACTTTTGACCCTTATAAGTTTTCGCGCCACCGGGATTCAAGAAAATGCGATTCAGACTTACAGGCAACAGAAAAAAGTTGTTCAGAATTCGATTGCGAGTAGATCGAATCATTGGAAGGTAGATCCGCTATAGGTTATACTTTACAAATTGTTAGTATCCGATCGAACGTGTTTTGTAATTTTAGGAACTTCAGCCAAAGCACATAAATATATAAAAATAAATGTAACCTTTGGCCATACATTAGTATTCGTCTAAAATTGGGCCGAATGTTTAGGCAAAGCCTACTTAATACTAGGGAATTTGTAGATTTACAGGCAGTTTGTTAAATGTTTCCCGGCAAAACCTTCCGAAGGTGGCATTTTCTGCCGAAGCAGAAGCTACAGCCGGAAACTTCAAATTATATTTATTTATCCTACACAGAGAAAAACAATGTCGTGATTTTCGATATACTTATACAAGATATTTATTTAGTGGACAACTTACATTTACTTGACCTTTTTAAAATTAAATTTGGTTTATACAAGCAAATATTTAATGAATTTTTTATCCCAGGTTTACTTGAATTAAGTTAGTTGGCTTACTTAAAGAAACAAAACATTTAATTAAAGTAAGTATTTTTAAAACACATTACGTATTTACGTTAATTATATTTGTCCAATGTTATTATTTTGTTCAAATAAGATACTATATGTGTGAATTAAACATTCATGAAAACTAAATCCAAATAACTTAGATCTAAACAACTTACTCTAAATGAGTTTATCTTTAAAATAAATTAATACAATAGGTTGTTTTCAAAAAACTTGCAATTCACAACCAAATAATAGTATTTTGTTATAGTAAACGAGAAGATCTACAAATAAGAAAATTTTACTTCGTACCTACAAGAAAATCCGTTTAAAATAAATGATTTTTCTTAAATTAATAATTTACTTTTCTCTGTGTAGAATTCATATCATCTATCTACCAACTTGACCCATATGGCATATTGGCTGGCGACGTCCGGACGCGTCCTTTATAGATTCCACATTGGCCATTTTATTTTATTTTTTATTCTTGATTGTCAAATTAAGATTTGCAACCAGCAAGCCTATAAGCTTTTATAAAATTGGCTACCACTAAAAAAATTACCCAAAGTATGTTGAAAAACAAGTGGTTAGAGTTAATAGAAATTGCTTTAAGCACATCTAAAAAGCGTGCACATTAAAAAGGATTGACAAATGCTTAGAAAAAAATGATATATTATTTATTAAAGACGTACGTCCACGGCCGTAACAATGGCTAAGACCGTTTTCCTACAATATCGCAAAAACAAGAGCTAACGGTTGGCTCCTGTGTCTAACATAAAATGTCATTTTGTCGACCAGTGTAATTAATAGGTACATTTATATTCCTATAGACAAAAAAAGTAAAATACTATTTTTATTTTAAATTTAAATGTATTTATTATAAATTAATAAAACTTTACTTTTTCAGGGCCAACATCAAGTAAACTACGACCAATTTGAGTTACTATGGAAACAATTTTTCATGTCTGAAAATACATCCGATCCAGGAAACTTCATTTTTGGCAAAACAAAATTTTAAATTGATTTTTTGGAAAATCTATGTTTTCATTTCTATTTTATTTCTTCTTATATTTGTAGTACTTTAGCAGAAATAGCATATCCTACCCACTATTATCTTTGTCTCTGCTACCCACCCTGACAGCTAAAAATCGACCTACTATCGCCAATACTTTTACTATTATTGTAACAGTAAGTTGTTTAGGCTAAGCATTAAAACTATTAAGATAAAAAAAATATTTTAATATTTTTCTTGCTGATATTTGTATTGGATGTTAAAAACGAATTTATATAAATGATATATTTAATGTTGTCGTTAAGAATAAGCAAATCACTTTTATAACCTGTTATAGTCAATGCATATGAACTATAACTACTGTAGTGTTACTTGTAGATTATTTAAAATTACCAGGTAAAAATAGCAAACGAAAAATTCTTTAAATCAAATTATTTAATATAATATAAACTATTTCCTGTTAAATTATTCTATTTAAAATGGATTAATACCTTACAGTGGAAAACTTATAGCCCAATTTTTAAAATAAAGCATAAAGATATTTGGAGTGAGTGTCGAATGATCAGAATTTGATAAAAAATTAACAAATAAATTATTTATGATGCTTAATAAAAATTCTTGTCGTTGGAGCCGAGTAAATACATTTCAAAGTTAAGTAAAAATACGCGGGTTCTTATGGCAGCAGTGGTGGACTAAACCCGTCGGGGGCCCGGGGCGGTAAAATAAAATGGGGCCCCTAGTATGCTTATGAAATAATGTGATTGTTTTGTAAATATTAATGTTTTGTTATTTTAAATTTGTTAGTAGATCCTCTTAGCAAGTCCTTTGCAACACTCTTAATGTAATAAGGAATATGAAAATTGATTACAAACTTTTTCCAGCGAACTTACAAGTATACTTACATTTGAACCTTTTAATAATTTAAATTTTAAAATTCAAGGGGCCCACTCATGGCAGTCTAAGATTAACCATTACTTAATCACAGAAGAACGTTCTTCTGTGACTTAATTTAATTATAACCTCTAATTCCTGATGGATTGCAGCTAGGGGCTCCCGAGACCAAAATATTAAAAATCTTTTTTAGTTTTGACTTTATATTTTTTTTCATAGCATGTTATTCATTAGAAACTTGAAATCTCCGGGGTATTTTTTTAATCAGTTTATATTTTATGGTAAAGCTGCAGCTTGGGTCCTAAAATATTTATACCTACCCTTTTTTTGAAAAATACATACATACATTTGAAAAAGTAGCAATCAACAACATTAATTTAATTTAAAAAAAATAAAACTAAACATTGAATTAAATTAAATTGATTTAAGAAAATGTTATTATAAATAATGAATAATCATAATATCATTTTCTTAAATCAATTTAATTTAATTCAATGTTTAGTTTTATTTTTTTTAATTAAATTAATGTAAAGTTCTTGATTGCTACTTTATTCAGCGTCGGAAATTCACTTTTTTCTCGATATCAGTGTACGTATAGTACATATATGTAGGTATACGTTTGGTAAATCCGTCAATAAAGATATTTATTTATTTATTTATTTATTTATATGTATACAAAGTATACTTTACATATCTGTAAAAAATTGTAAAGTTTTAGAAAAATTGACTTTTGCATTTTTTCGTATTACTCTTTGAATAAAATGAGAAAAATGCCGCCGGCTCAATTTTTCCGGAAATTTTAAAACCCTTAGTCCGCCACTGTATGGCAGCATGTGGATTTTTACTCTTTTCTCCTTCGAAATAATTATTGGTAATGATATCATAGGATTGCAATGGAGCAATGCGTGGAGCGTAATTTCAAAACATGATACGCGAAGTTTCATGATCATGTCGGTAGGAAAAAAGTTCTATTGGATTAAATCGGTGAATTCACGAAATTTGACGCTTGCACTGGAGATTCGTGGCAACGTCGCTGACGTCAGATAGGAAGGCTCTCGCCCGGTGCTACATAGGTGTGAGTGAGAACGTATGTAGCAAGCGTAAAGCTGGATTTATAGTTCTAAAAAGTAGGAGTAGCAGTAGCAGTAAGCCAGTGTTGCCAATATAATAATATAATAAAATGTCTTCATAAATGTCTGCAATGTGATTGACTGGAGTAGGAGTAGCAGCAAGAAAAGTTAAAACTTGGCCATCTCTTACGCCAACGACCTTGGTTGCTACTGAACGCTACTCCAGCCATTCAGATTGCAGCATTTATATTATTATATTGGCAACACTGGCTTACTGCTACTGCTACTCCTACTTTTTAGAACTATAAAGAGACAGCGAATACGACGTTGCCAAGCGTTGCGACTATTATTATTATTATTGGCGAAATTTTTAAAAGCGTTGTTATAGATTTTTATTCATTCACATACACTATAACAACGCCTCATGAACTGACAATGCAATTACGTTGCAAAATAATAAAAACATCGCCTAAAAATGGAATTAATACCCATATGAATTTTGGTTGCAAGTAGTTGACAACGGATTTTAAATCTAATGCTGTAGTTATCGATCGTGGTAGAACTGTGTCCTATCCTACAGCCTGTAGGATAGGACACAGTTCTACCACGATCGATAACTCATGCCCGGACAACCTTTATTAAATAATATACAAGATATAGAATACTTTGCAATTGTACTTTTGCCGGCTTGAGAGATCCAGAAATGGTTCAAGGTATTTAGCCATAAAGTTCTATAACTGTGTACCAGCTAGAATTAAAGCTCTAAACTTTAATCAATACAAAAGACAAATCAGGAATTACCTTATTCTGAATGCCTTTTTTTCATATGAGGAGTACTTCAAATCAAATTTTAATCTGTAATGTTGTCGTTATTTTATATTTATTTATTTTATTTGACCTGTAAAAATACTATTCTGTATGTTATTACTAATAAATTATCTTATCTTATCTTATCTTATCTTATCTTATAAATAAGACCCAACAACAAAAAACAAACAAAGATTTACTATACTAAAATTATTGCCTATCTGAAACTTGACAACGTTTTATTCTGTGCCCGGCGCATTGAACACGCAATCGTATAGTGTTCGCGCACCTCGTGCTGGTTGTGTTTATGAACCTATTTGTGATTTTAATTTTCGTGGCGGGTTTTCGTTTTGCGAGTTAATAAACTTATTGTTGTGTTGCCTGAAAGCAGAGAGAAGGAAGGTAAGGCAAAAGCCCTTACATCAAGTAAGTAAGCCAATTTGTTTTTTTATTTTATTAATAGAGTATTTCCAAGGTTTCTTTTTCGTTTCGTTTAATAAAATTGTTTAGTCTTTGTTGTTGTGCGGTTGTGCCTTTATTAATCTAAAAATAATTATTGGTAATAGGTAAAAATGAATCCCTCTCACGATATTGTTTTGTCTTTGCTTGAAACCCCTTTCGTAAGACCACCTGAAGTGGAAAAACGTCAAATTTTGGAGAGTCAACCAACGCCAAAAATAACGGCAGTTTTTAGCAAAAAGAGGGTGGGTCGGGAATGTTCGCGATCATTTCAAATTTCATGCTATGATAGTTACAAATGGCTTTGCGGGAGTTCATATAAACAAAGTTTGTACTGCTGGCCGTGTATTTTAAAGGAATAAATCAAAATCCCACCTGATCCCGCAATTGTTGCATTATTCTAGCTAAATTCTAAAAATTCTTCTCGCGAAAGACTATATTTTTAAATAATATATTTTTTTATTTAGATTCTGAAGTGCTCCGAAAACGCGTAACCTTGAAAATTAAAAAAAAATTACATGCGGCGCTATATAGCGCTTCATGGGCCTCACCTTCATCAATGGTCATGAGCCGCCACACTGTTGTACACTTAACTAATTTTCTATACTTATATATCGCCACATATTAAATTTTTTTACAATTAATACAAACAACCCATTTTTTTTCAAAACTTTTGGGTAGGTTATTGTTGCATTGTTACCTGATTACTTGAAGAATCGCGGGCCAACTTCAGGAATTCTGACTCTGCTCCCATCTGGATCAAGCTGGCCCCACACTCGCTCGGTGAGTGGCCAGTAAAAACTCCATCTCAGAAAATAAGGGCTTTATAAGTGGGGGAAAGGAGATCGTCTGGATGCTGCAATGTTGTTGCTCATATCCACGTGCCTTTTTACAGCCAACGACATCACCACATTGAGGTTCTATGTAAATTGTACAATGTTTCTTTTTGTATTATTTACTACCTTTATGTATTTATGTGTAAATTTGTAAATTAATTTGTATTTGATTTGTATCCTCTTGACAACCGAGATAACCGAGTTAAATCCTCTGTTACGTCAAAACTATTTAGGTAAATTTAAATCTAGTAATTTAACTATTTTATTTAGTAAAATTTGACTAATTATTAGTGACTGCTTTTTTACTACGACAATTATTTGAAAACGCCTTACAATAATTTAATTAAAAAAAAACAGTGTCTCAAATAAGTTCCCTCTAAATTTAATTATATCATAGATAATTGGTTTAATTACAATTGCAAAGTATTCTATATCTTGTATATTATTTAATAAAGGTTGTCCGGGCATGAGTTATCGATCGTGGTAGAACTGTGTCCTATCCTACAGGCTGTAGGATAGGACACAGTTCTACCACGATCGATAACTCATGCCCGGACAACCTTTATTAAATAATATACAAGATATAGAATACTTTGCAATTGTAATTAAACCAATTATCTATGATATAATTAAATTTAGAGGGAACTTATTTGAGACACTGTTTTTTTTTAATTAAATTATTGTAAGGCGTTTTCAAATAATTGTCGTAGTAAAAAAGCAGTCACTAATAATTAGTCAAATTTTACTAAATAAAATAGTTAAATTACTAGATTTAAATTTACCTAAATAGTTTTGACGTAACAGAGGATTTAACTCGGTTATCTCGGTTGTCAAGAGGATACAAATCAAATACAAATTAATTTACAAATTTACACATAAATACATAAAGGTAGTAAATAATACAAAAAGAAACATTGTACAATTTACATAGAACCTCAATGTGGTGATGTCGTTGGCTGTAAAAAGGCACGTGGATATGAGCAACAACATTGCAGCATCCAGACGATCTCCTTTCCCCCACTTATAAAGCCCTTATTTTCTGAGATGGAGTTTTTACTGGCCACTCACCGAGCGAGTGTGGGGCCAGCTTGATCCAGATGGGAGCAGAGTCAGAATTCCTGAAGTTGGCCCGCGATTCTTCAAGTAATCAGGTAACAATGCAACAATAACCTACCCAAAAGTTTTGAAAAAAAATGGGTTGTTTGTATTAATTGTAAAAAAATTTAATATGTGGCGATATATAAGTATAGAAAATTAGTTAAGTGTACAACAGTGTGGCGGCTCATGACCATTGATGAAGGTGAGGCCCATGAAGCGCTATATAGCGCCGCATGTAATTTTTTTTTAATTTTCAAGGTCACGCGTTTTCGGAGCACTTCAGAATCTAAATAAAAAAATATATTATTTAAAAATATAGTCTTTCGCGAGAAGAATTTTTAGAATTTAGCTAGAATAATGCAACAATTGCGGGATCAGGTGGGATTTTGATTTATTCCTTTAAAATACACGGCCAGCAGTACAAACTTTGTTTATATGAACTGCCGCAAAGCCATTTGTAACTATCATAGCATGAAATTTGAAATGATCGCGAACATTCCCGACCCACCCTCTTTTTGCTAAAAACTGCCGTTATTTTTGGCGTTGGTTGACTCTCCAAAATTTGACGTTTTTCCACTTCAGGTCGTCTTACGAAAGGGGTTTCAAGCAAAGACAAAACAATATCGTGAGAGGGATTCATTTTTACCTATTACCAATAATTATTTTTAGATTAATAAAGGCACAACCGCACAACAACAAAGACTAAACAATTTTATTAAACGAAACGAAAAAGAAACCTTGGAAATACTCTATTAATAAAATAAAAAAACAAATTGGCTTACTTACTTGATGTAAGGGCTTTTGCCTTACCTTCCTTCTCTCTGCTTTCAGGCAACACAACAATAAGTTTATTAACTCGCAAAACGAAAACCCGCCACGAAAATTAAAATCACAAATAGGTTCATAAACACAACCAGCACGAGGTGCGCGAACACTATACGATTGCGTGTTCAATGCGCCGGGCACAGAATAAAACGTTGTCAAGTTTCAGATAGGCAATAATTTTAGTATAGTAAATCTTTGTTTGTTTTTTGTTGTTGGGTCTTATTTATAAGATAAGATAAGATAAGATAAGATAAGATAATTTATTAGTAATAACATACAGAATAGTATTTTTACAGGTCAAATAAAATAAATAAATATAAAATAACGACAACATTACAGATTAAAATTTGATTTGAAGTACTCCTCATATGAAAAAAAGGCATTCAGAATAAGGTAATTCCTGATTTGTCTTTTGTATTGATTAAAGTTTAGAGCTTTAATTCTAGCTGGTACACAGTTATAGAACTTTATGGCTAAATACCTTGAACCATTTCTGGATCTCTCAAGCCGGCAAAAGTCTGGTACAAGCACAGACAAAATAGACTTGCCTTAGGGAGAAAATGATACGGCCGGGCGGGTGCCTGAACGGGTGCCTGTTTTCCAGTTCGCATCATTCATATTTGAGCAGTTGACCTGTGAGGATATATTATTTATGTAAAATTCTTTGAACATTATGGGTAAATGTGTTGTCAAAGTGTGTCCTAGTCGTATTGAAACTAGTTCCAGCCAATTTCAACCAATTTCCTTTTTCCAGTAAGTAGTAATTACGAGATAAATTTTAAGCGATTTTATTAATTTTGCATGTCAATACCTTGCGTGCGCACACAGATGTTGTATTGTTCTCTCTTGTTCACAGAGCCGTACTTCGTTCATTCTGGAGCCTAAAACTAGATGAATTTCTTTGATAATCCACTAGGAATATTTTAAATTAGATACCGCTCGTACGAAATTATTTAATACAGGCCTGGCAGAATACATATCTTCTCTTATATAATATATAATATAATGTATACATTCCCTTGCCCCCCTTCACCGATTTATGGCACGCTGGTTTCATGTTAGCGATACTGAACAGGGCAAGTCTATTTTGTCTGTGGGTACAAGATTGTTTTTGTTTCTAGTGGGATAGTTGTGAATATCAGTATGAGATCTGTATTGATCAAGATTTTGTTTAATGTGCAACAAACACTGCATAATGTAAGCACAAGGTAAAGTTAAAATTTTTAGAGTCTTGAAGTAATTTCGACAGTCCTCTCTATAGCCAAGCCCAGAGATAATACGTATGCATTTTCTTTGTTGTCCAAATGCCTTTTCAAGGTGACAAGAATGACCCCAGGAAAGAATAGCATAAGTTAAATGAGAATGGAAGTTGCTGTGGTATGCTGTTAAAAGAGTTTCTTTAGAAGTAACCTTTACAAGATTCCTAAACAAGAAAAGTTGACGGGATAGTTTTTTTGAAAGATTGGCAAGGTGTTGCTCCCAGGTTAAACCTGCATCTAAGTGTACTCCAAGAAACTTGGCTTCCATTGCAGATTGAGGTAGAAATTGTTGTTTAACATTACTTTCATTCCTGAGAGTGAAGTTAATACTTTGTGATTTAGAGTTATTTAAGGATAGACGATTAGCTAGAAACCATTGACATAATTTCTTTTCGGAAGTTTGGTAATCAAGTTGGTCAATTTCTGAAGGGTGATAGCTTATGTAAAAGGTTGTATCGTCAGCAAATAAGACAGTATTGACTCCTTTACCCTGAGAGTACGCCATATATATAATAATATGTCGTAGAACAATGGAATCATTTATCAATCATTTATGTTACTTATTTTTTTTTATATTTTTAAAAAAGAAACATTTAAATAATGAGTCTCCTTGTTTAAAATCAAAGCGAACATTTGGCAACATGCAAATTACTGTGAAAAATAATAATGTACAAGCCCAACTCTGTGGTCTACAAATTTCGCGTATTATCCCCGCCTTGCGGGGGTGCCGGCGGCACCGTGTTGTATTAGCAATGTGTGACGTATATGAAGCGCAAATTTATGGCATCACCATTGAGTAACATCTTACTCAATGGCATTACTATTTCCCTATTATGCGGTCGGGCAATGATAAGCGTTTAGAATTAAAGTTGGAAGGGGTGCGCGCTAAATTTAAAGGAAATATTTTAAACTTTCATGGTTATTCTATGTTTTCATACTTTTAATGACTGGAAATTAGTTTTAAAACGTTTTATATTTAAATAAGTAATGTATCGAAAATTTCAAATTATACCTATTATAATTTTAACATGTGAGGCCCGACCTCAGTTGCTTTATACGACGAGCCGCCACTGGTGTACAAACATTTGACTATTGAAAAAATATATTTAAGTATACTTAAATATATTTTGTTTATAACTTTTTTGCAAGCAATTGCAATTTTCAACAAGTAATTTAACTCAAATTAAACTTTTTATTGATGGTGTTTATAGAAAATATAAAAAAAGAATACAAAGAACTGTTTTGTGAAGAATTTGATTTTTTAGTAGGTACTTACTAATGAGATCAGAAAACGGTTCTTGAATTTTGTGTTCCTATTTAGGTATATTTACTTATACTCCATCGAGAAAAAATTTAATTCAATTAAGATAAATTAAGATTAATTATTGGGTCGTAATTGCATTTGTTTACCAAAAAGTTATTAACAAACTCCTTAAGCACAATTTTTTCGATAGTCTATTGTGTCCATGTAAAGTTTAGCTAATCCTTATAATACCAAACTTTTGGGTGGGTTTTTATAATTTAATAATATAATATAATGTAATATTAAATAATTATTGTAGCATTGTTGCCTAGGTAATATTGTTCAGAAATTCTGACTCACACGGAAAAAAATAATAGGTAGAGACTACCGATTGGCAATCGGTAGCAGCTACCGATTGCCAATCGGTAGACTCTACCGAAAAAATCGGTAGACTCTACCGAAAAAAAATCGGTTCCCTCAACCGATTTTTATCGATAGTAGCTACCGATTATTTTTCGGTAGAGTCTACCGATTTTTCGGTAGCCGTAACCGAGAAAATCCGTATCGATGCGCTGTTGGAAAATTAAAAAAAAATATTAATACTTAAAAATATTAACATTTAAAAATAATATTAAACATTATTCAAGTTAATAAAAATTACTCCTCATTTTTAATATTTTTGTATTTCAAATTTATTTATACCTCAAAAAAAAATACTATTTTCTATTTAATAAAAAGCGAGTATTTAACTTCTCGCTAAAAAAATACAAAAATTTTCAAAAATTGGTATTCGATTTTTTCGGTAGCCTGCACCGAAAAAGTCGGTAGACTCTACCGAAAATAATCGGTAGCTGCTACCGAGAAAAATTGGTTGAGGGAACCGATTTTTTTTCGGTAGAGACTACCGATTTTATCGGTAGAGTCTACCGATTTTTTCGGTAGAGTCTACCGATTATTTTTTTCCGTGCAGCAGTAACCTAAATAATTAAGGAAAGCAGAAAGATGAAGAGAGTAAGAAGTTGTAGATGCAGGTAACAGAGAAAAATAAGGTAAAAAAACCTTTACAAATTTTGATAAACAAAAGGAGCATAGGAAAGAAAGGATGCACGCGACCTGCAGCACCCTGGCTTGTGTAGTAACTTTTATAAATGACATTTGACATATTTGTCAATAAAAAAATGGTTAATAATAATTAATATCTTTTATGTGTTTTCAGCTAAAATTGTTCGAAAAATAACTAATATATTAATTTATTTTCTAAAATTGAATTGGTCAAAATTAACTAACTACCACAGTTATTACTGACTGCTTTTTCACTTATAACATGGTTAACCATGGGATACCATGATATTTCCAACATTTACATCAAATTCTTATGTAAAATTGTCCCCTGAATCCGAAAATAGCTTAAAAAATTATGAAAGTAGAGCAGTTTTTGAGATTATTAGTGGCTGCTTTTTCGCTATGACAATTAGTCATTTTTGACTAATTCATTTTAGAGGGTAAGTAATTAAAAAATAATTATAGTTCCTTACACCCATTACTGAAATTTTTATACTATATGCAGCATTCCAGATTAGTAAATACTTATTTTTTCAGGCAAAGTAAATAATAATAATTATTATTAATATAATAATATTAATATGTAATTATGACAGTGTTTCAATCACTTGGCCTCTACTTTATCTAGAAGTTTTCATTTTGCATGTTTCAAAATGTTATAGGTAAACCTAAGAAACAGGGCTACTCTGGTTAATAGCAAACGTTGGTTTAAAAACGCACAATGCTACAGTAAAAATACTAGGATATTTAATTAAATAGAAATTTAAAAATAGACAAAATTCATTATCTGATATTTTCGGATTTATTGAATGTAGGATTTGTTATTTTTACCTGTTTTGTACAATTATGAATGATGCTTATGAAATTATATAATAATTTATATTTCTATATAACAATAAATCTTGTCAACAGCCTTTTTTCTGGAAAATAGACATTAACTTTTCCAGGGTAATTTGCATTCTGAATCCAAAAATTACCATTATTTTACTTAATCAGGTCTTGTTTTTTTGGATATTGTAAAAAACTGTTTTTTTACACCTTAAATTTGTAATATATAGTATAGCTACACTACCAATAATCCTCGGTTAAGAATTTAAATTAAGGGGTCAATGCAAGAAGTGCGTAAGTCACATTTTCAATTAAATTGTTATTGTGGCTTCATCTAAGAGTTTTCACGTAAGTTGAAAACCAGGCAAACTCCCATTGAAGTAAATGCAAACTAAGGCACTTGGGCACATATTTCTACCACCTAAAACCTTACGTAAAACACTCTTAGATGTAAATTTAATTGAAAATGTGACTTAGGCACTTCTTGCATTGACCCCTTCAAATGTTTTCATATAGAACAAAAAATCGTTGTTTATATTATCCCGAAAAGAAGAGCTGATTGAGCACCTAAATTACTCTAGTAAAGTTGT